TGTAATAAATTAACATCAGGCTATTCTTAATATTTCTCAGACTGACCAATTTTACTGAGACTATAACAATTTTAGAACAAATAATAAATGAGGAATATTGATTGAGAAACTGTCACGATGTATGACTTGTATTACCAATTTATTCCAAATATTTTCAGACATAATTTGGCAAAGTTTAAGGTTCACCATAATTGGAATACTTTCAATAATGAATATAAGTGTATTCATACATGGTACATCTTATAATTTTCAGACTGTGTTAAGTGACCCATACTGGGTACCATCAACAGAAGAAGAACTATTACATTTTGGTGAGAAAGCAGATTCCGAAAACCAGTCCCGCAAATACATGGACAGTGTACGGAGACGTAAAGGACTACATGTCGAGGAGAAAATAGTTGAACATGGAGAGAAACAAAGAACTTTGGGAAGAAATAAATAAAAATGTGTAGTTGTAGTAAGGGGAAAAGTATAACAGAATGTGAAGTTTCAGTATGTGGGAATTCAAATATATAAATATTATCCGAGAAAAGATCTACAGTTTACTAGTAATTATTGAAATGTACAACATAGTTATGTTTATTCTTTTCATAAAATTTTACTTGTCATCTTTATGCTATGTGTGTTGCAATAATCCCTAAAACCAATAACTGTGTGTTCTTAGCTGCCACAAGTTCAGAAAAAGAGAAGAGGTAATTCACATTTATAAATATGATACTGTATTTGCTCTATTAGTAGTGCATTTGAAAATTACAGAGATGATTCAGGATAAAACAACAAATTTTTGGTTTACATGCATTTCTATTGAAGATATGCTTCTAACATAGCAAATACAGTATACATTACTGACCCTAAAAACATGGATTAGAAACTTCATTTGTCATGTTTGCTTGCCTCAGTTACAGAGACATATAGGGGAAAATGGGTTTTCTGTCGCTAATTTGCATAAAGATCTAAATGTAAATTTAATTCCATTAGAAATGTCTTTATAATATTCTCCAACCATGAAAACATGGGTAGAGACATTTCATGCATCATATTCGCTTGTCTTGTTATGATATTGCAGAAAATTTAAAATTTGCCGACCATTTTGTTTATGCAAATTAGACCATTAAAAAGTTTATGGGATTCAGCATGCCTAAATTTTGTAAAAAGTCTAGTTCCCAGAATGCCCCTTGCTTCTTAGGCAGGGACTTTTTTAAAGAAATGGCACTAGACTAAAATACAACGGAGACTGACACACACCATGACAATCAAAATACTGTTGTAGATATTAAGTTTCCTTGAAATACAGATTACCAACGATTTCCTGGTTCATGCACAATTCATGTAATAAACCTACTATTGTCGATCCATAACTGCACTGTTTTTTCCATGGTTTGCTCTGTTCACTAGAGTTCTTTTATCTGGTTATTTAACTGGTGTCACATTTATGTTCAATTTTGCTTCAGTACATATATCTATTTTTTTTATAGTGACAACAAAAATTAACTTGTATGTTCAGCATTCAATGTTCAATTTCAACATCAGTCATACAGTGGTATAATCAATAACAAAACAATAGTGCCAGTACATATTAATATTAATGTATGTCTGTTCTATTGTTGTGGTACATATTGCTGGTTTGTCCACATCCATAGAGCAATTGCTAGTTTGTCCAGTTGGTTGAAATGCAATATATGGCATATTCAATATTGGGGCTGGATATAACAGTGTTGAGCTGGTCTAAATATATTTGCTTGAGTATTATTACCTTGCCCGTACCATCAAAGATGGAAGGGAAAGGTATATTAAGGGAAAAATTTTGTCCGGCGTTGTTGTTGTTGCCGTCGTCGTCGTCGTTAATAATTGTTATTGTATGCATAATAACTTTACTAATTCTATTCCAAACTTCATCAAACTTGGTCACCTTATTCATCAGTATAAAGTCTTCACTGAGTTTGAACAACAGATGTCCTGTATGAAAATATCATGCAAAAATTGAGAAAATCTGATAAAATATTTTGACTGTTTCTACTTGACTGATCACTGGTGATACACATCAAAGTTCACTGATCTCAGTGGAAATATGCATTGTTGTATGTGTTCAATGAAGCAAATGATTTATCTTGTAATTTATCTCAGAATCCCATACTGGGTTTCAAAACCAACTCATGGAGAGATTGCACAGTCTGATACACATTTGCAAACCTACCAATAAAATCTTTACAGAAAACAAGATGTCAGAAAATCAATATAAGCATTCCTATGAACTGGGTGCCTAACTTTGATCAAGATCTGAAGCTAATAGAAAATCTGTTTAGTTCAAAGTTATCAAATCAAAAACAATACATAAAAAATACATTAAAAGCAAAACATTTCATCCACATTTTAAAAAGAAAATTATTCTAAAATATATGTATTCTGTATTTGACAAACAGTTCATTCGACAAATGAAAACTCACAGGAATATGTTTCAGCTATTAGAACAGAATGATAGAGTTTTTATAATACTAGTTTAAAAACGCACTTCAAAGATTGCAGTGTTTGAAGATGTAGATTCTCAGGAGGCAACAGTACTGTTGACTTCTCCCTCCACTGGACACCAACTAACTATTTAAGTTGATTTGCATACAAAGCAGAGCTTGCAACATGATAGCTATTCATAAAGGGTGTTTTTTTACTTTTCATATAATACAGTAGTCACACAATGGGCAGTTCATATTTGTCTCAGTGAATCATTAATTTTTGACAGACACCTGTACAAAATACTTGGACAAAAGCCAGCTAAGATTTTCTGTTATCTTGCATGTTTTATGAATCTATTCACGTCTAAATGCAGCCCTTTTTTTTGAGATGGGGCATTTGTTTTTATACTAAAATATCAGAATTACTTTGAATAAAGCTGGAAATTATGTCCCTTAAAATAATTAAACAAATAAGGCACCAATGTTTTTGTAAGATATTTACATCTTTAATGGACATTCGGTAGACTGATTCCCCGCTGTTGGTTCAACCCCAAAACTTGTTTGTATTCAAAATTAATTATGACAATGCATATTTATATTGAAACAAACTATGATAAAGGGAATTATATTATATAACAAAGGGCAAGGTCACCAGAGTTCAACTATTTTTAACTCTTGCGTTGGTTTTTGATAAGATGGTTGACTCTCTAGTAGAAGTTGACTGCAAGGTGTTGATTATGACAGTGGTACTTCAATATTATCAGATGTGTCAGTTTTGTATAGGTTCAAACACATCTGCTGATATGTTCAATTGAGGTAGACAGATTTTTTACTCCCCCGTTTGGACAAAGTCTGAAAACGGGGACTATTAATTTGGGTTCAGTGTGTTCGTCCAGAGCCATATCTCGGACACCCTTTGACCGATCTCGTTCAAACTTTGCACATGGACGTACATATGCACGCAAATTTTCGTTTTTATTTGATTATTAAAATATGGCTGACTCGCAGCCATTTTTCTCTCAAATTTGCTAAATTCTGATATTTAAACATGTCCATAACTGTTTCTCGGAGCTGAACAAGGTGGTTTCAAACAAACTTTGTATGGTTGCATATTTGGTTATAGGTGCATGTAATTTTTTTTGTTGAGATTCGTCCAAGATGGCCGACTGGTAACCATTTTTTTTTTTGTACTGATTCCTCCATAAGATATGGTCTGATTCAGTTCAAAGTTTCTACATAAGTACTATACTTCAAGATAACACAACACCATGTTTTGTTTTGAGATTTGATCAAATTTGTGGAAATGACGGCCATTTTTTTTTAATATCTTAAAATCAGTCTGTAACGTGTCCATAACTGTTTCTCGGAGCTGAATATGTCACTCTATATGCCGTTACTACCCCATGTGTGTTCCAAATTTAGCGGGGAAGGGGGTGTTTTTCACCTTTTAAAGCGGGCCAGCACGGGAGGCAAATAGGCCCCCTTTAAAATTCTAATGTTTGCAATAGGCCCCCAGGAATAAACTTACAGGGTTGCTGCGCCCTCTGTAGGCCCCCTCTTGAACAACCACTCCCATACACCACCCTAGGCCATAGCTTGTTTGAGTTGATCACACCCCATTTGAGTGAGAAAAAAAAACTGCAGAGAATGCTCGCAATAGGAGTAGGATGTTCTCAATATATGTCTGCAATAGGTTGTTTTTTTTTTATTCAATATGTCTGCTCTACATTTACAGTGCCCACAATAGGGGGTATGGTTTGGCAATGGGCTGCAGCCCTAGGGGCCTATTATTTTTTAGCAAGAATGCACATGGTGTAAAGTTTTAATATAGAGTGACCCCCGGAACTATTTCCTGGTGAGTCGGCTCTCCCATCAGCTGCTAATACTACATTTTCTGGAGCAATCCTATCAATGATATTTTTCTCCATTTCCAAATATGCCCTGTTTAGTAGAGCAGGTGCAGCAAATCTAGTCTGATTGGTATAAAAATTAGTTTTTGAAATGCAAGCCAGACCTAGGAACCTTCATAACTTTGCAAACTAAGAGAACACACTGCCTGAACATAAAATTGAGGTGGCAAGAAGGGAATTAATGCCCAATGTACCAGCATATGTTGATGATGAATACCATATCATTTTATGGTCACTTGGGCACTGCAAAATCAGTTTCATACAAGGCCCGACAGTCTGAAATCTGGTGAACTTGATTAGCTGATTACAAGTTGAGCAGTGCATAGTTCCTGGATTTGTGTTTTACTACAAATAAATTTAACATCATGAACTAACTGATTCTCTTCCGTTATACCTCTTGTTTACTCTCATTCATACCATCTTTACGGAAATTCATGTCGGCCTGATCAGTAATTGGTGGTGTCACGTTATCTCCCACTACCAGCTCTGGTGTACAAGCATTCAAGATGTCGGACATCTTGATGTAATCTAATTTTGCTTCCAACTGTGAATATAATGCAATTTGGATTCTCAACTTCCACAAAAAGGAGGTTAGGGGAATTTATAAAATGGGAGGTAGTTGTAGTGATACCATCACAATTAGCATATTATAGTACCAGCGTAGTGCCATGACTAGACTGGCAAAGTCGGGACTTCTTTTTTGTTTTACAAAAAAAAATATAATTGTCAATTTAGCCCTTTTAACTAGCGAAAACAAGCCATGCATGGCACAGTCCCCGTTAGTTATCAAATATAAGATATATAGTTTTGTTTATAGTAATATGGCTGGTATATAACCATGTCAGGAATATGATTTTTTGACATTAAAATGATTGACATTTGTATCTGATCGTAAAAAAAGTACTTGTCCATATTGAGAGATAATGCTCTGGAACAGCATTCAAAATCATCCATTTTGAATACATGTATATATATAACATGATGTATAACGAATATATAAAATTTGAATATAATCAGTCAAATCATTTAAGAGATATGGCTCTAGAAGCCCAATCATTAAAACAAAATGGCCGCCAGTCAACCAT